CACACACGTGGCTTAGCAACAAAGATCCACACACCACATTTAAGCTACACCTGCTTTGTGCTGACGATAATATTATATGATTTACCAAAAATAAATACTGAATAATGTCATCATTTAACTGACAACCATATATGGTGATAACTTCAATGCTGCATTTCAGTTACTTATGTATTTACAGCAAACGCTGCATGAACTTTGCTCTAATTTAAATACTGCTCATTGTCACTTCTGCATTCATGGATAGATTCCACGGCACATATTACAACTATTAATGTCACATTAACATTCTCAGTGTTAGATGCCCCTATGCAGCTAGGTTTGTTTTGTGTTGGCAACAGCATTTCATGCCTATCAAAAAGTTACAATCCAAAATATTCAAAACATGAATTAGCAGCAATCTACCTTCGAGTAAGACTACAATACTGTACTTACAGTTTTAACATATTTGATAATCACAGTGGGATTTTAAATGAGGTTTTCTTAACTGTTAAATAGAAATGTATTTCCACAGTATCTTCCCTTGGCTGATTATTACTAAAGTGTAGCGGTTCCCCTTTGGACATGTCACTGTTCATGGAAACATAACTCTCTGCAGGAGTCTTTGCAGCTTAAGTGAGCTTTAACACAGATCAGGAAATAATTTCATTAGACACGTCTTAAAAGTGAAACTTGAGATTCTTGGTTTTGATTCTTCCAAACTATATCTTATTAAAATTGTGAATTAACCATTGCATGGCATTAAAAACTAGTATGGTAATTCACAATATTAACTTAGGGCAGTTTTAGCATAAACCATGGATGCTGGTCTAATAAATATGTTAAGCACTGTACTCCACGTGGAAAAAGTAGATCACATTGGCATCCGGCCAGCCTTCAGTTTCTACCATTACCAGACACACCTAGCATACATATAATTAGACCTGCAAGATCATCTGTTAAATAATCTACAAAGGCTCAATTTAAATGGAAAAAACTAAGATGGCAATGGTTCAGTTGTTCAGCTACACACATACACACAACACCTCACACAAACTACGATCAAAAAAATTCCCAAATATATGAATTAACTGCAGTGTAAGGTTTAAAATAATTGCAAGAACTTTGTAACAAATTAACCTAACAAGCATCTTTTTGTGGCATGAAACTAGAGTGCCCAAGAATCGTTTCCTTTAACGACTGCAACACCAAGCAACCAACATCTTCAAATTATGTTTTCACTCAACTTTGTTGCTGAAGTTGAGCAGCTTACCTTATGACTTATGACAAGCAAGACACATTAAAATCTATGTTGCATTCTTAAAATAGTTTGAGTAGAGGGCACCTGTTTGGTTTGCATGGTCCTACTTCACAACGGTTCACTATGCTAGCGGTAAAATGAAAATCAAGGAGAAAGCTGAAAGTCTGACTTACTGGATAGTATCTGTTTCCATGGGCCGTTCCTCATTTGGTTCTATAGGTTTTAAAGGTTTTGTATCCATTTTCTTCTTTGGGTGCTCCAGTCTGGAATGTTTGTTCAAGGCGGAAAATCGGAGCGTCCCACCGCTTGATTTTGCAGCTCACTTTATCACTTTTGATTCCTTTCATATTCGTTTTAGTTTAATGGCAGTTAGCAAACCAGCTTGACAAGCAAGAACAGCATGCCCTATCCTGAGAAAGGTAATTATTTCTTCCTTCTGGTTCTACCCACTCTCTTCCTGTGACCTTATTGGGAAATAAACTTTAGTAAACAAGATTTAGGGACTATATATCAAATTTGAAAATTACATATTTTTCAGGTATCTTTATAACTTACTTGTACTTACATTATAACTAATCTGGTTCTTTTTTGCCATAAAATATGTTTACAGAGAGTTATATTTGTTGCGATTATTGCCAAGATTACCAAGAGGAAGAAAAAAAACTAACATTTTTAATGTTACCAAGATTTTTTTTAACTGGAAAAATAAAGGATATATAAAAGTCACTGCCAAAAACTGATTGCGGCTTCTACCTTGTGACAGGAATGTTGTTTGTGGCTCAGGATGACTTGATATCATTCATGAGGGATACATTTGTCATATATTTCACATAGGTCAACAACAGGGGCGATTTTAGCCCATTTTTGGGGGTGCTTCCCCTACTCTGGCTCTATGTGCTCTTGCTGCCAGAGCCATGGTGGCTGAGACGCAGCTGAGCGGAGGTGTAAGTGCCTGGCTTAAAACAGGACATATTAGCTACATTGAACCTTCAGTTACTCTTTATATATATATATTGTGTTCATGATTCCTTCTTCTTTGAGACCCTTTCTGCTGAGGCTGCGGTGAACAGTATGGATCAACTTCAGGACCAGATGTAAGTTTTAGATCCTGTTTCAGGTCTTTGCTGAATTTTTTTTTTCTGTTTCTTAAGAACATGACATTGGGAACAAATGCTGTGTTTTTGTGACTCGCTGCTAGTAACAAAGTGCTTAAAGATAATATTTAAAAATGGGTTATTTACAAATTTGGCTGTAAAAAACATAAAATATTGAAATACTTTCAAAAGCCCTCAGAACTATTGCTGTCAGCTGCCTGGAAGTGAAATTGAAAGAAATGAGGGTTGACTCGGGAGTTTTGCACAGTACAGTGTGTGATGCAAGGGGATTATTCATTTATTTATTTATTTATTCTGAATCAAAATATCATTAATATTCGGAGAAATTATTTATGGAGCTTTTGTGTTTTATAGGATGTTGACAGAAGGACGAGCTTAGTCTGTGTTACTTCAGAAACCTTGTGATAATCTGTATAGGACCTAGTTTCATAGTTTCTGGATGTTTTTGTTGTAGTCCGGTTGGCTGGGGGGCGGTAACTAATTTAGTAATTTTTTTCTGTCTTTAACCAGTAGGACCATCTGTTGGGTGACTGTTACCAACAAAATTAGAAAACAAAAACACTTTCTTACTCAGCTATTTCATGAACATGGTATGAATAAAATTCTAACGTCTGCATTGGATCTTTGACTTTATCGATAATAGTTTTTTCACAAATTGTGAGTTTTATTGTGAAAAACCCCACCGGACGTACTTTATTCTCCTTGGCGAAACGCGTGACGCACAGGAGAGTAGCAGTGGACAAAAACACAGACTTGCCGTTCAGATTTAGTTGTAAGTACAGTGCATAATAGTTAGTACAAATTCTTTTGTGTTTGATTTTTCTATAAATTGTGTTACAAAGATGAAGGTGTGCTCGGAATATGCAGTTTGTTGAGGGGAGCTATGTTGTGGTTTGCTACCTGGCTAGCAAAACTGAACGTTACAGCAAAACTGATTATCATCGGTTTGGTTGGAAAAAAGCACCAACGAGCTTCTCTAAGTGTGCTTGAGCTGTTGCACGGTGACGCAAAGTGTTCCGGTGATGTTATCTGGATCCTAAAACAGTTACGTGAACGTATCAGGTGCTGTTGTTTCACCTTCAGTGGTTTTGTGATTCCTGATGCTGGACTCAGCTTCACTCAGGACGCGTTTGTTTGATCCTGTAGAGCCGCAGATACCTGAACATTACACGGAAATCGTTCACAGGAGGAAGCCAGTTTTGGTGTTCACAAACACCAAAACTGGCACATATACTGTTTTTATGTTTACTTGTTTGATAAAGCTCATTAACCATGCGAAAACTCAAGATGGTGGCCTTTTCAACATGGCTGTTAACAAAGGCATCAACAAATATTAATTTTATTTATTTATTCAGATAAAGCCAATTAGCATCATATTATTAGGGCATAATAACTGATTGTTGCAGCTTTAGATGACTTTAGCATGTTGTTTTGTTATAATAATATAATGATGCATTAGTATATCTATATTAAACCTGCAAAATGATAAGCAGCTCAATATTTAAAATTAAGTGCGCTGAGTCTAAAATGTAATTGAATAGAAGTGGAAGTACTTAAAGTACAAGTATATTGAACGTGTTTGTTAGTAAAGCAATTCCAGAAGTGCACTTTTTTGTACCACTAGTCTATCAGCTTCTCCAATAGTGTCAGTTAGATTTGAAATTTTACTTTCTGATAGTTTTTTTTAATGTTTTGCATTCAGGCCACAGAGCATCACCAGACATCCCTCTCAGAGTATACACAGCACTGCAGTGGACGAACCAAGGAACACCGCATGGAAACAATTCAGCTTTGATGTGAATGAGTCCAAGCTACAGAGGCAGTTGCTCAGCTATTAGCTTGACGATCGTTGGGGTTGTCTGTCCAGTCTACAAGCAGTAGTCGAAACCTCTCCACCTCCAGCATGAGTGAGCTAACAGACTTTGAAAAAGGCAAAATAGTCGGCGCGCGTATTGGAGGCATGTCTGTGAGCGAAACTGCTGAGCTGTGTAACGTTTCAGCCCGAACAGTGATGAAAGTCATGAGTGCTTATAAGAATTATGGATTTGCTGCATCAGCACAGAAAAAAAAAATACGCAAGCCACAGAAAAATACAGTTGCTAATGGAAAAGCGGCCAGGGCGAAAGTGGTTCCCGAGTCTAAGGTCGCAACACAAAATCCTGATGAAGACATGGACGCACCTGAATCCAAGACCCAAGAAGATGAGTAACTCGGTCTGATGAGCTGTACTTTGATTCTTATGTTACATTTAGACTTTTTCTGTTTTCAGAAAGCCACAGAATGCCTTTATTTAACCAACACTTTTCCTCTCTGCTGAGAGATTATCTCTTTAAAAACATGAATATCAATTACTTTATTTATGGTAAACTAATTTTACTGTTTAGTTTAAAGAAATTCGACATAAGAATGGCCAAAAATGATTTTAAACTTTTTACTGATGTGAACTGGCTGTGTTGTAAACTCATACTTTCTTCTTTTTTTCTTTTCGAACAATATTGCATATTTTCAACAAATAAATTTTAAACGTGAATCTTTTTGCGTCTTTTCTCTCTGTGTTAATGACCCTATTTCATTTCTCAAATTGCACATCCTCTCTGAGAGGAGGCAACAGGCAGTTAGAAAATTAGACGTCCTTCAAAGCTCTCGATTAAATACCATGGGGGAACAGTGTACGTACATTTTGTTAAAGCACAACTGCTGTACTGAGATTAACTTCTGGGTCACCGGCCGGAGAGTAAATAAATAAAACTTCTTTTTCTTTTTTATTTAGACTTACTGCTTTCGCCATCTATTTAGAGAGCAAGGAGGACACTACATTTGACAGTTTGTCAGCAGCTGATTGGTCCACTAACCAGGACATCACTGCTTCAGCATTCAAACCCATGGAAGCGCCATATGACAGTGGACATTGGGGTACCTAAGTGACAGTGCTCCAACGCAGTGGCTGGGTTTCCTGCTCATCTGTCAGGTGACAGTGTCCAAAGGAGATAGTCACCACTTTAAAAGCAGTGTTCAAATCAGTATGAGTGACTTAACAGAGTTTGAAAGGTGCCAGATTGTTGCTGCACGGCTGTCGGGTGCATCTGTCACAAAAACGGCACAGCTGTTTAACGTGGCAAGGGGAACAGTGTCAAGAGTCATGACTGTGTATATCAAACATGGACGAACAGCATCAGCAAAAAAGAACAGCGGGCGCAAGTCAGAGCTCACTGAAAAGGACAGACAGACGCTTCTCCAGATAGTCGATGAACACCCCGAGTGCACCGCCTGTAAGATAACCTCAGAGCTGAATAGACACCTCTCTCACACGGTCTCTGTAAAGACTGTACGCCGTGAGCTGCATAAAGCTGGTGTCTTTCGAGGAGCATCCAATCAGAAAGCAGAGATAGAAACTGATTCTCCAAAGTTCGATGGAAAGAACAGCGAGCCTTACAAACAATGTGAAGCACAGACGCTATCTGAACCCCAGGGTGCTGTGCACAGATACAACACAGACGAAGCTGGACCCCAAATTTGAACTTGAAAAAGATCACTACTTTCAAAGGTTTCTTGACAGGAATAAAGAGCCTGAACCTCAGACTTATAAAATTACCTCATCTGATGGTACATTTCAACCTTTTTCATTCTTGAGTGAACTCAGCTGTCACTTATGTATTCTGTGTGCTTTACATTATGAGCTGTGAAGAGTGGCTTGCACAGAGATTTATTTTATTTTATTTATTTTACCAGGTTTGCTAATAGGATTTTCAGTTATCCAGCCATAATAACACTGTTTTAATTAAATGATAAAACAGTAAAACTAATTGATTTCTCTGAAATAAAATAACCAAGGCAAAGCTAACAGGCTATGGCATGCAAATATATTGAAAATGAAAAGTAATAGGTTCAATGATTAATATTTAAATAGAATCGCATGTGTTGAAAATTACAGTACTAAAGTAACTGCAGTGATTTAGCTTGTGCTTGTGCTTTACACGGTGACGCAACAACAGACCCGGAAGTGCAGCGCCAACCACAAACACACCTGTGACTGCGCCGCTGTTACTCTGTGGAAGAGGGTTCACGTGTCCAACCGTGAGAGGTTTGACCTGTGTTTTCATCCGTTTTCTCGGCGTCGGGGCGAATATGTTTGCAGTATTTATGTTTTTTATGCAAAGAACGTTTTAAACCTCAGCATGAACGTGTGACGGTAGAAAGGTGTAAGGCTACGTTTAGCCAGGTTAGCTTTGCTTTCTTAGCTTTTCTAACTGAAGCTGTGCAATAATGACTGATTGTTTTATTTTTAAGGTGGACAGCATTAGGCGGTTCAGTAAAACTCACTCGGTTTCCCGAAAAGAGCACATGACTGATTAAACCATTTTAGCTGTCTTGTTGCATTCGTGTCCTGACTGATTAGCTGTTAACCTGTTTCTTTTCGGGGGGTTCTGGAAGTGCTGGAGGTGAACTGGTGTAGAGAACAGTGGGTATGATTTTCAGGGGCCTGCACTACGAAGCAGAATTTCGTCTACTGCAGGTTTTCTGTACTGCCAAGGTGGTTCACTTCTCACCGAGGTACATCACCATGGTAACTGATGTTGCAGACGATGGACATTACATTAGTGATCAACAGGTATAAAGTCACCGCCCACTGACCAGTCTCTCTGAAAAAAAGCGTCACCATGGCAGATCTCCCGGGTCTCTGTGCAGCTGTAGAAAACAGCTCATCAGAGCAGACATAACTTTTCTGCAGATAGCAGGAGAGTAAAGATTTGCAAGGGCGTCTTTGTGTTTCCCCGATGAGCATCAGTAATAATTAAAATTCATTTAAATTTTACAATAAATTTACTTAGGTAATATATTATATACATATTAGTGTATTAAATATATTAGTGTAGTATATTATCCTAAAGTAGGGCGTCCATTTACACCCAGTACCTATAGACCTTATATCAAATTTCCATAGGCAGAATGTATGTTTGAATTGTGTTTTTATTTTTATTTTCTTCCCTCTTCCTGTTCTCATCCCATTAAATACCACCAGGGCAGCAGCTAAAAGAATAAAAACTAAAACTTTTTTAAATGTATGTTTTGGGCTTTTAATCCTTTATCTGATTATACAGTGGAAAGAAGACAGTAAAGCTTGGAGAAAGACACCAAGTAAATAGCCTTAGTACAAATTCACACCAAGGCCCTCTGCATTATCCATATAGCATGGATCACCTGCTCATCCAGTTGTCCTATATATAATACATACTTTACTTGACTCAGAGTCATAATACTTAAGGAGCCTGAAAGTACAGAACTGTTAGTTGGTAGGGTACTGGGGGCGCTAGTTAGAATTCATCCCTATAATTTGTCCCTCTATTAGCACACTAATTGCTAATCAACACAAAGAGAAAGAAAACTGTGTATTGTTATTTCATTGTGTTTGAAATTTTAACTTCTGGTATTTTCTTCTTTCATGATTTTTGCATTCAGGCCAAGGAGTAAAACCAGTCATCTCCATCTACAGTGCTGTGCAAAAGTCTTGAGCCACCTTTTGTTTCTCTATATTTTGCTTCCCAAGGAGCCAGACTTGCTTGTAATTTTTAAAGTTGTTTTGAGCATCAAATTTCCAGGCTTTCTGAAGGTCTTTTTGCAAGATTTTCCTTTGGACGTTGGCTTCATTGGAGCATAGAAAAGACATTTAACTCAAGGAATGAAGTAGTGTTGTGTTAACCCGTGATGAAAATCATAGCAAAGAACCAGTTATAAATGGTATATTTTGACAGTTTGTTCATTTGTTCTCATTTCTTTAGTTGCATCTTTAGTTAAATCAAGAAAAAAATGCCAAAGATAACACGGTTTGACAGGCATAAAATAGTACTTTTGCACCAACAAGGTGAACCCCAAAGAACTATTAGCCGAAAACTTGGCATATCTCGACATGGTGTGCAGTGTGTCCTTAAAAAATTTCAGCAAACCGGACAAGTGGAAGACAAAAGAAGAAGTGGCCGACCTAAAAAACTATCTACAACAGATGAACAGTATCTGAAAGTCATGTCCTTAAGAAATTGTAAAAGATCCAGCAAAGACCTGACACAGGACCTGAGAGATGCATCTGGCCCTTCAGTTGATCCAGCTACTGTTCGCCGTAGCCTCATCAGAAATGGTCTCAAATCATTCTTAAAGAAGGGAAAGGGGGAAGAAAGGCTGACGTACAATATACTCAGCACTGGAATGGATAAAAGAAGAGAAGCAGTCAACACTACCCTGTCCAGTGAGTTAACAGACTTTGAAAAGGGCCACATAGTTGGTGCACGGATTGCAGGACTGTCAGTCAGCGAAACTGCCGACTTATGTAACGTATCAAGCCAAACAGTGGAGAAAGTAATAAATGCTTATAATGAACACGGATTTACTCCATCAGCAATGAATAAAAAATATAAGCCACAGAAAAATGCTGGTGCTACTGAATCCAATCCAAGACCAGTTCCTGACTCTAAGACTGAAAAACAAAATTCTGATGAAGACGTAAACACATATGTATCCAAGATTAAAGATCATGAGTAACTTGGTCTGATGTGTTGTATTTTGAGCTTTCGGTTGCATTTGGACTGTTTCTGTGTTGATAAAGCAACAGTATGCCTTTATTTAACCGACAGTTTCCATCTGTGCTGAACTTTTTCATTTATTCACATTTTCATTTTTTTTGAAAAGGTTCAAAACGCTTTACTTTTTATTTACTTGAGATAGACTTCCACAGAATGCTTTCACAAACCTTCATTCTTTGTCCAAGCTGGATGTGAGCAAACATGGGTCTCTGTGCAGACTGACAAATATTCATAAAAGTAGATCAACTTGAAAATATTTAACAGTATTCCATTATAATGTTATAATATATTGCTCCTTATTTATAGACCGATGTTTGGCTGTGAATGTGTTGGCTGGTTTACACCGTGTGTGTATTATATTGTAAGGCAAAGCTTTTTTATTTTGCATGCATCATGAAGAGCTCTTATTAAAAATGAATATGGAACAAGATCCCTAGAAAATAAAGACTTGTGCTTCTACTATCTCCTCTGAATTACTAAGTTGTTCTTTTAAAATGTTATGCTAGTGACTGGAGAATATCAATCCATCCATTTTCTTAACTGCTTATTTAGTTCAGGGTTGTGGTAGTGGAAATGTGTAATGTTTTTCACCCATTCACACACACGTTCATACAAGCAATTCATTTTTATTACTATTACTGTAATATTGAAGCTTTAGGGGAAAGGCTGTACGGCCCTATTATATACAGACAACAGCAGTTACTCATGGGGCCTCCCACCTTCTAGAGAGTGAGTCGTAGATTGAAGTTCCAAGAAGTAATAACTTGAGCAACGTCAGACACTCCCCTTTCTTTGTAATACATAGATATATCTATTAATCATATAAAAAATAAGTTACTATGTGGGTAGGTTTTTTTTTTTGACGTTGAAATGTTTTTCTATAATGAGTGTAAGGTAAGGTGGTTGTAGCTGTTGTGTGTGGTGCGCATGCGTGTCACATAACGCAGCAACAGACCCGGAAATGCGAAGCCAACCGTAAACACAGCTGTGGCAGTGCTGCTGTTACTTTCTGGAAGATGGTGTACGTGTCCAACGGTGAGTGGTTTCCCTGCTTTAACGGTTTCTTTGTTTGTTTGATATTTATTAGGTGTTTTTATACATTTTAGAACATAACCACCGCATGAATGTGTGAAAAGTGTTAGGTTACATTTAGCCATGTAGGATGTTAGCTAGCCTGGTTGAATCTGCGTAGCAGAAAGAAGTGCTGAGCTGATGAACCTTAGGTGGTGTTTTAAAACTTCGTCGCCTTTCCAGAATCCGATATGTGACTGCGATTTCGTTTGGGCTTCAACTTCATAGTGGAACGAAATTTATCTTTCTTTAAAACTGTTTTGAAATGTGCTGCAACTCGTTTATGCCCTGATTAGCTGTTAGCCTTTGTGTACTGAAGGCCAGCTAAGGAGTAAATCCGGGTTAACGATTGGCTGGTGCACTCATGATTATTATACATGTATTCCCGTCTTGCAATGTGAACAGCATCACAGATCCCTGCTGTCTGACCCACCTCTGTGTTTCTCCATCAGGCCAGGTCCTGGATAGCAGGGCACAGTCTCCATGGCGCCTGTCTTTACTGGTTGATCTTTTCTGGGGAGCAGTGGAGTTTATTGGCCTCTTGTAAGTCAAATGAGAATTAAATGAAATAAATAAAACAAAATAGCCACCTTTATTTAACATAATGGATGAGTGACCTTTTGAATAATCATTAATATTCTCATTGCCTGTATTTAAGGTTCGTTAAGAGTTGTTTGATTGTATTTACTGTTGTATTTTCACATGTGTTTTTCTACCTTAAAAAGATGCTGAAAATCTCTTTCTTCCGCTAAAGATAGATGACTTACAGTTTCTCTAATACTGCTAATCTGTTGCCTGTAAAACTGATTGGAATGTGGTGTAATAAACTTACAATATAGTGAGTAAGCAAGAGGCTTTTCTTAGAGCCTCCATTATGGTTTATTCTGAATTAAGCACAAGCCCCCACTCTTTTTTTTCTTTTACCAGTTTCAAAACCATGTTTCACCCCGACATGTCAAAGAATGGAAGCTCTGTTTCATCACGCTTCACTGACGGCAGAGGGTAAGTCCCTGAAACACCATTAGTTGTGTCACACACACATACACACACTGAACACCAATTCTGCACTACCTTTATGTTAAACACGGAAAATTACGTAATCCGATGTAGGAGCAAGCTAGCTTATTAGGAATTGTGTGTCATGTGTAACACAAAGCTAATAAGATGCATGTGATGTTATTTCTTTTTCAGTTGTATCTAAAAAATTGTCATAATCCAGAGAATGACAAATGCAGTTTAACAAAGCTGTTGCTCATTTCAGCACTTGAATTAATTTATATTTAAGCTGTTTAACGCATTAAAGCTGACAGCACTAATTTATACCACTTGTTCCTCACATTCTTGTCTACTGTTGGTTATACAGTCCTCCAGGTCCACCTGGTGGCAGAAGGAGGATGGGAAGAATAAACCATGGTGCAGGGCCCAGTCCTCCACCAATGGGTGGAGGAGGATGAGGAAGGTGAGAATTTTTTATTGTCTTTTTTTATTAAACAGTCCATTTTAGTATCAGCTCATATGTAAAGTGAAATTAATTTCAAAGGATGAATGACACAGAAACAAAATGTGCATGTCAGTTTGCTGTATATGTGCTTGTGTAGTCATTAGGGCTGCCACGATTAATCGACTAGTCACGATTACGTCGACTATTAAAATTGTCGACGACTAATTTAATAGTTGACGCGTCATTTGACGCTTTGTAAGATCCCAAAAGACGCAGGAATAAGTAGTAGGATTTAAGAGTGTAATAACAGACTGAAACAGAAGACGGCAGCACTGCATGTACAAGGATGCCAGCTGCCGTTAAACCCTGAAGAAGAAGAAGCTGTGTCCCAGAATTCATAGCGCGGCCCTGCTCAGTTGTCAACAATGACGGCAGCTAGTTAGTTTTAATATTACTCTTATTATTCTTTCTGGTTCACAAAATAAACATTTAACATATTTTCAGGCAAGAATGTAGCTGTGTAAACTTCAAATATCTGCTCAGCTTATCAAGACATATATTTTCAAAAGCGCTCCGACGTTTTCGGAGACGTCTGTTACCCACCAGCTCGATAGCTAGCCGGGATTCAAGGCTCACTAGAGCCGGTGAGAACACTGGACTCCCGGCAAATCGTTTTCAAAACCACCGCCGTCTTTCGCTACTTAGGTTAAAGATGATATGTAAGTCACTTAGATAACTTAAAAGTGATATTGTTTGGGTTTTTTTAGTATTTTATTTATTCCTGAGTAAATCGGTTTGGCTGAGATTAAAGTTATAGTTTTTACACAACTGAATAAACGTCAAGCAGACAGCTGATTATCAGAAGTGTGAGATGCTCAAGAATATACTCCGGTGTCCTGTTATATAGGGTGGGCCATTTATATGGATACACTGTAATAACATGGGAATGGTTGGTGATATTAAAGTCCTGTTTGTGGCACATTAGTATATCTGAGGGGCAAACTCCTCAAGATAGGTGGTGACCATGGTGGCCATTTAGAAGTCGGCTGGATTGTCAACCCTCTTCTCCCACTCTTCACACACTGATAGCAACACCGCAGGAGAAATGCCAACACAGGCATCCAGTATCCGTAGTTTCAGGTGCTGCACATCTCGTATCTTCACACCATAGACAATTGCCTTCAGATGACCCCAAAGATAAAAGTCTAAGGGGGTCAGATCGGGAGACCTTAGGGGCCATTCAACTGGCCCACGACAACCAATCCACTTTCCAGGAAACTGTTCATCTAGAAATGATCGGACCTGGCACCTAGTGCTGGGCCATATCATACCGTTCACGTTAATACCAGTATAATGTTGGGCAACGATAAGAAAATGAAATATTGCGATAGAATATGGGTAAAACGCGCATGCGCAGTGCCTTTGTTTTCATATGCACATGGCGGAAAAAGCATGGCGGCGACGGAGAATGAGGAGAGTGAAAGCGGATCGTTAAATGAAACGGATGAACCAGAATTGGTTTGTAAAAATGCTGAAACTGCAGTGGTGGGGCATTGGTTTGGCTTTCGTCCGTCAGATACACAACAAAGCACTATTTTTTGTGGTGGTGGAGGCCAACAGGTGGATGAGGGAAAGGGGAGGCAGGAGGAGCAGAGAGCCGAGGCGGCCGCCGGCCTAAGTGTCAGGTGAACTGAACTTCAGGTAAGAAGTTATGACCTGCAGTCTATCTGGGTCAGATATAAACCCGAGTTTATTCTCGTTGTGCTGACTTTTTCGTACTGCGTGCTAGCTGGCATGACGGAATTTCTATACAGCTGGGTGGGTGCTATGATGTTAATGATGTGGAACTTTATTTTATTCATAAGGTTAATTATTAGGGTTGCCAACTGTCCCCTAAAAAATGAAATCGTCCCGTATTCAGAGAAAACATTACGCGTTTTGTATTGAGGTGAAAAGGAAGAGTTTGTCCTGTACTTCAGCTACAATGAAAAAGACACAAAGCTGGAGTTATTTTGTGTCTTTGCTGCACAGCTGCCTCTTCTCCTCTCATTCTCTCCCATCAATGATCAGCTGATCGGCTTTTCTCTCTTGTTTGTTTATCGCCCACTTTGCGCCAGAAAGAAGAAACCAGCGGAGGTCGCGCTAAACAACAGCAGCACGTTTAAGCTTGATCAGCTGTTGTTAGAATTTATTTAATATTTCTTTCTAGTATCAGCTGATATTTGCTGGAGCCACAGCTGTAAAAGCTGCTGGTCATGATATCAGTTTGGATATGTGGTGAGAGTGAAACATGAAGATGAAACCAGGAGATGTCCTTACTGAACAGCTGAACAGGTGATGGAGAAACAGGTTTACCTTTTAGGTGACATGAATGAGTTGAAGGGAAGTTATGAACTGTTTCTGAGAGACAAATAACACCAGAATCCTTTTCTAAGTAGCTGACAGCTGGTAACTGTGCAGGGGCGTGTCTAGCAAAGTTTTGCCAGGGGGGCAGGTAGGGCATTAACAGGGAGAGGGGGGCACAAAGAAGTACTTTTCTTTCTTATTCTCATTTAAAATGTCTAGCTTTTAAAAAATAATTATTTGAATCTTATAACAAACGATTGATAGATTGATGCATATGTACCATCAAAACTGTGTCACAACAGCATTTGTTTTCATTCAAAGGCTTTATGATTTTTCCTGTAATGGTGGGCCGGTCTCTAGTCCAAATGCCCGGGCTGATTTTTTTGTCCCAGTTCAGCCCTGTATGCAGCTCATTTGCAGTCTGGTGTTGCCTACATCTTCCTATTCGGAAGGCAGAATTTCCAAGTTTCTGAGTACAATCAAAAGCACCACAACTGCATTTTACATGTTGGATGTAAAAAGCGCACATGGCGCTGTGATGTAGGCTAGAATCATGGCGGCAGTCAACGACGGTCCAGGCGTGGGATTTCTCTTGTGGAAATATCCACATTATTTTTTCCTTTCTATTGGTATGTGGCACAGTGCACTTGTGGCAAGTAAGCAAGCTAGAAGACTGGCAATCTTGCTGGGTATCCAGTTACGGAAGCAACACATTAACAAGAGAATTCTGAGTAAAACCAAAGTTACTTCTCTAGTAACTAGTTACTTTGAAAGTAACGAGTAACTTGAAGTAACTGAGTTACTTTTGATAGAAGTAACTAGTAATGTAACTAAGTTACTAATTTAAAGTAACTTACCCAACACTGGTCACCAGCCATCTTGAGGAGTTTGCCCCCTCACATATACTAATGTGCCACAAACAGGACTTTAATATCACCAACCATTCCCATTTTATTACGGTGTATCCATATAAATGGTCCACCCTATATTTTAGATAGCAAGGAGCAGACAGCTGAGTTTATTAAACTCCACTGAAACAATCTGCAAATGTCATTAAAATTTAATAAACTATCATCTTGACTTTATTTTTAGTTAGCACATACCTTAAACACTTCAAGCTGTAAGCTAATCATAGTTATATAAGAGCAGATGCATGCTGGTGCAATAAGCTGTACGTTTTATGTCCAATGGATGCATGATCTGATTAGTCGACTAATCGCAAAAATAATCGGTGACTAGTCGACTATCAAAATAATCGTTTGTGGCAGCCCTAGTGGTCATATTGATGGAAAGGTTTTTGTAGTTTTCTTGTGTTATATCTATTTGCATTTCTTTACTAAGGTTACATTGTACTGAGTTCTAGATAAGTGCTACTTTTGTGTAATAACTGTTAGGGTTATCATGATCTGATCACTTGATCATTAACAAAAAATACTGGGGGGTGGCCAGTGGTACTCTTCAGCCTCCTACTACATGGACCTATGGCAACACCATCACCCTACTGGAAAGTAGCCCTCAGCCTTTTATAGCTGAAGAGTAAACAATTAACTCCTTTTTTATGCATTTTAACATTACTCATTATTACTCATGAATGCATTTAGGTTATTACCTTGGGGGACCTAGCCTAACAAAGAAACTGATTATATATGGCCGTGATATGAAAACACTGCCTGACTGTTATATTACCCGCTCCTCTCTCTAGGTAAACGCCTTGCACAGTGTCTTAGAAGCCAAGGAAAGATGATAAAGTCACAGTGCTAAGGCCCTTCCTCATCAGCTGTCACTGTCACAAGCAGTTTCTTGACGCCTTTCTGGGAATTCCTACACGTAGGGGCCAGAACGGCTGATACCACAGCTATCCACATCACTTCTTCCCTCATTTTCTGCGTCGGCTTTTCCAACTTGCAATGTCACCAGTTTCTTAGATATGGGTTATGGTTCCTGGGAGTCATCAGCTAATGTATTTTTTTGTATCCTTCTGTTGAATAAAAAAAAAAAATACTGAGTGTGTCTCCTGCTATTATTGTCACATTTGGTAATCACACAGCTTGGTTCCACAAAGAGCTGGTCGGTACTAATAGCAGTATCACACCTTTGGCTCAGCACTAATTGTTAGGATATCTAAAATCAATGGATAATTTGGTAATGGCACAGGTATACATTGTCTTTTTTTTTAAACTCAAATTGCAAAAGTTGATTAAGACTTGATTATATCAGTCTTGTGTGTGACTATGATATAATTCCAAAGAGTACACTTAATCACTTAATGTTTCTATCAATTCCAAATATCTTGTACCAGGTATCATGGGTTTACTGTATTTAGAATTCCAGACATTCATGAACATTCAGAGCATTGTGATACAACTGCAGTACATGACATAAAACTGTCAAACTTATTTAATACTGTTCAGAAGTAACAGAAATATCTGCATTGTCTTAAACAGCCAGGAAAAAAAAACACTGAAAAAACACTGGTGACTGTGCTAGAATTGTCAGAATTTGCTGTCACACTATGTATAGAGTTTATTTAAGGAATTAAATCTTTTTTCTGGAAAAACAGTTCTCACTCTTCCTTTATTTACTGCAGAAATGTGCTCAACAGTTTGCCAATTTCATCCTTCTGCAGTCCACTGAACAGTGGGACAGTTTGAGTCACCATTTCAAGTAAGAAGAGCCTGTTTTCACCACACAAAGGCAGCTCTTTCACGGAGCATTCGGACACCAAAGCGGTGCCATTCCCTCTGGTGGATCCACATTTCTTGCGTGGTGTCCAAACATGCCAGCACTGCTCCACCTTTCCACGAGATCAGCCGAGGATCCATGTCCTAGAGCACATACGTGTCATATAAAATACATTACAGGATCAGTCTGCAGTATAAAGTTATCTGTCTTTTGAAGACAGATGCAGGTCTGTGACCTTTTCTGAGATATACTAAGGTAATTTTGGGGTACCTTTGGACGTGTGACAACTTCCACATTGTCTACCAGCCTTCTGAAGGATGGTGGCATCTTGTTGATGATGCGGTGAAGAAGGAATTCCTGAACTCCATGAAACATGAGCCCCCCTCCCACAACCAGGATGGAGCTGTACATCTTTCGTTTGGTTTCATCTGATGCTGTAAATGAAATGAGTACAGAGGCTCAAACAGGATATTCCATGGAAGTTTTTATTCTCATCGCTAGATCTTTGAATATAAAAACAAAAATTAACTTCATCACTTACCACAGCAGTCGATGCTATGCAGGACTGCCTTATCTAATCCCAATGCTTTGCTCTCAAATTGGCTCATGATGGCCGTCTTCCTGGACAGATGGGCAGACACAGGCTCTTCCACCTCTCCTGCTCCCATCAGGGACTCTCCATGGGCAGCCCCAAGCTCTGTTTCCCCCTGCATCCCTCCTCCACCACCACTCCCACAGCTCCTGGGTAGATCTGACAGGTCCCCAGTCCCTCCCTGACTGCTCATCTCCCCTTCCAAACATCCACTTGGTCTGGAAATAGCTTTCCTGTCTGCAGCTGATTTGGAGGACTATTGGAGAAAATAATTAAGTAAAACAATAGCTGAGAACCATTTGGTTTCATTGGTTTCAGTCTATGAAACCTGTATGTGTGTGTGTGTTTTACCTGGTCCTGTTTGCTCTGTGTAGCAAGGAGGTAGTGTTCATCATGAGGGTCCTCTGAGTCGCCTTGGGAACGGAACTGAAGCGATGACATCTTCTGACCTACAATCCCAAACGTCGTCGGGTAAAAAAGGCCCATGGGTGCCTATAAAGAAGACAGAAAAGTAGTTCAGCACCAGTATCAAAACAGCATCGTCTTTACCTTCTGATATAATTACCTGTAGTTTCTCATCCCCAAGTCGAACCTGGTACAGAAGAGCAGGGGCCTCTGGAAAACGTGTCTGAAATTCATGATCTTGTAGCCCTGATATGTCCTGTTAAGAGAAAACAGAAAAAAGATTTTGTAGTTAATATGTACTTAAAATTGCTCCATCGATTATTTAGAAGTGAGTATGGCTAAATACTCAAAGATGCTAACAAATCATTGTAATGCACAGACACTAACACCCTCCCTCCCACCCTGACTAACACACACTTGATCTAGATGGCAGAAGGTCTCTTTCAGATGCTGCAGGAGCTGACAGTCTAGTCTGTTAGACAGTTGACAATCTCTGTAGGGAAATCCTGCCCTCTGCAGGAGCCAGAAGAAAGTGCGGGTCACATCTGAGCCACCGTATGCTAAACACAACCTGCAAAGTCCCACAAATACAAGATACCATGTAAGACATTTGCTAAATAATGCAATAAAAGCAGGAAGTGAAACTAACATGAGTTTTAAAATTAAATATTCACTGTTCTGTGTTTGTTGTCTGTGACAACCGGGTCAAATAATTCAATATTAAATATATTTCATATGAAATAATGTTTAATATTAAATGTATTTCATTTAATCAAACATAAACGTGAGTTTTGAGCCCCACCTGGAGTTTCGATGTGACACTCCGTCCTCCACACAACAGATACTGGTCTTCTGGTCGCCTACATCCACGACACAAGCGCTACTCAACCCACTGCCAAAAGTAGCACACACCGACTCCTGGTGCACAATGATAGCTACACACAAAAAGACCAGGAAGTAAGTTGATGGAAACAAAGAAATTTCCACTTAGTTACGTGTGAAGATTGTGTAATACCTGAGAACCCTATATTGAGCAGCAGCATGTTCACAACCTCTTTGATGTGCTGTCTGTTGTAGATGTCAGGGACCAACAGGATACATCTGTAATACTAAAAGAAATAATGCGAAATGAGCAACTGATGATTAATGTGGATGATCATCTGTTTGAAAGTTTATGGAACACAAAGCCTGTAGAAAGCCTCTATTACAGAAGCAGCTAGCTAGCTAGACAGCTAGATAGATAGAGTCTTATTTTTTATACTAATATAAAGAAATGAGGATTTATCAAGACCACTGCATCCTGCTATAGAACTGAGAAGTTTTCTCCTACCTTTAAATCTTTGAGAGGGATCTCCAGATGCTTCTGAATCACATGACTCCAAATTGTCTCGAGGTCAGCCAGGACAGCAGTCAGTGAGCCTCCAGGACCAGCATGCACATTTAGCTGACCTCTGACTACAGGCCAGTGGATGTTGTAACAGTCTGTTGGATTCACATAAAGAGCCTGTGCAATAGCAGAAATGGGGGGGTAAAAATTAATCAAGGCTTTAGGAAATGAAAATGGCTTAACAAGTCATATTTCACAGAAGTTACGAGTTTGCTCTAATACATTCACCGACCTCCTCTCCAACCAAATAAGGAGGATGGTGGGTTGTGTTTGTCCACTTCACTCTGGAGCTGCTGTCTAGCACCGCAGGACGGATCTGACAGTTATACGCTCTGGCCTAAAAACAAACATACAAAACTGAACCACTGCTATAAAAAAATACTTTTATGGATTAACATCATAATCAATTAATGAAAAGAGTTATTTTCTATATTGTATATCAGCTATTCAAACCTTACTAAGTTGCTATAGGACCTTAAGGTCTTTATTTCTTTATTGTATAAGATAGAAGACACTCACACTGCATTGTGTTGCTTTCTTCCCTAATTTCTCTTTTATAACCATACCTGATCAGCAGACACAGGAGTCCTCCGCACTCCGTTTGACATCTTCTTGGACCATATAGCCTGATCAACCATTTTAAGGCCATTCTGCCTCTGCTCGTTGCTTTCTGGTTTCTGTTGGATATTAAGACAAAACAATAAGGATAAACACTTAAAAATGACACCATTTAATTTGACAACAGTGAAGTTGTATTATGGGTGCACCTGGTTTTGAGTCACATACATTTAGACCTTCTCTCAACAGCCATGCATCTTCATAGCGGGGCTGGCCACTTTGCTTGTGCCTGCGTGCTATTACATGTGGGACCGTCACTGGAAGGGTGTCCGTTGCTCGGCCAATACGGAGTGTTCTTGATCCAGGGTGGATGACAACTACAAAATTGCTCTGTATTTGCTGTGAAAAAGAATAGAAATTTCAAGTTTCACCCAACAAAAGAGCAACTGTGGACACCTGCGCAGCCTCTACTCTTATGGAAAGACTGGCCACTAGTTTTTGGAAACTGGCTGCATGGATCTGTTTCCATCCAAGGGCTCTGGTGAGGTCAGAGCTATGTGCAGGATAGTCTATATCTTCCACACCACACTGGAGCTGTTGGCATAATGTTAGACGTGCATTAATGCCAGCACAAAAACGAAAACACTACATGCTGTATCATTAGGTTTAAGCCTTTAAAAAGAGCCCAAACCCCGTCATCCTTGCAGCTAGTCTTAACCCCAAACAAAGATACTGACTGTTAAACCTAGTTTCCACATCTACCACATCTAAGCTCCTGAACCTTTAAAGAGGGGCTTAAATCGGAAGGGTTAACACGTGTTTTCATCCGTGTTGGGAAAAACAAAAAGAGGTCAACAATTAAGAGCTAAAATATTTCAATATCAGCTTTAACTCAACAACTCTGAGCTTTAAACCTTGTTGCCACATGTAGCAGGTTATAGACCCATTTAGCAACGGTGTACTACTAAAACAGTGTACTAATACGATAGTAAACGCACCATCACAATAGTTTAGCATGTGTCAAGTGAGAACAAAATGTTCATGAAAAATACAAATGCTACATTATAGATTTCTGGCATATATACGCTATAGTTCATGTATACAACAGCTGGGTACTTCATTTTCCGTCTCACCTCTTGAGGAGGCTCTGGTATCGCCGGAGGAGCGATGGGTCTTTTCACCCCGCGCTGCTGCTCCTTCTCTTTCTCCCTCTCTCGCTCCTTTTCTTTGTCCTTCCCGTTATCCTGCTCTTTCTCCGCCTGGGTCATGGTCTCCTTTCCACTTAATCCACTAAATACTTAGAAATGACAAAGTCACGGTCTTCTAGTCCCAGCGAGATGGTTCAAAATTGAAGCACAAGCTAACACCGTTGCCTTCCTCT